CCCCTCACAGTAAATTCCATCCTGCTGTTTTGCTGTTTTTCCCCTCCCTGCACCACCACTTTACGATCGCCATCTTTATCTTGACCGGCACTCTCCCTCACACTCTACGGCTCTTTCTCCTTCGCTCAAGTAGCAAAAGTAACAACACAGCGATATGCTTCTAATTTGCATTCCAGACACTTCTTTGTTTTGAGTAAATAGATAATGTCATCTGTTTCTCAGCTCCCATTCCATCCTTTATTGCTCAACGGTGAATGTAGCGAGCAGATGGGAGATGGGACGCAACTGAGCGTGCAGGTAGTGGAGGATTTGAGGTTGAGGGTAGCAGACAGACAGGTGGGAGAGAAGTGAGAGACAAAAGGGAAGTGAGATGCCTGTGTATTCGTCATGAAAGCACATATGGGAAACATGAAACACATGGAAGTCTATTTTTGTTATGTTGGGCTTTGGGGGGGAGGAGAGTGTCTGGTTTGAGGACCTCAGAATAGTATCTCTGCTCTTTGCAGATGATGTTGTGCTGTTGGCTTCATCACATCGTGACCTCCAACATGCACTGGGGTGCTTTGCAGCTTAGTTAAAAGCGGTCAGGATGAGAGTCAGTGCCTCCAAGTCATGAGGCCATGGTTCTCTGATGTAAAATGGTGGACTGCCATCTCTGGGTTGGAAGAGTGTTACTGCCCCAAGTGAAGGAGTTCATGTATCTTAGGGTCTTGCTGAAAAGTGAGGGTAAAATGGAGTGTGACATGGACAGGTTGTTTGGCGTGGCAATGTGTCAAACCACTGTGATGAAATGGGAGCTGAGCTAGAAGGCAAAGCTCTCGATTTACCGGTCCATCTACGTTCTGACCCTCACCTATGGTCATGAGCTTCAGGTAGTGACAATTAGAGATAGGGTGAGGAGCTCCAACATCCAGAGGCAGCTTGGAGTAGAGCCGCTGCTCCTTCGTGTCAAAAGGTGCCCGTTGAGGTGGTTCAGGAATCTAATCAGGATGTCTCCTGGGCGCCTCCCGCTAAAGGTGCTCTGGGCATTCCAGACACTTAAAGGTGTTCTGGGAACGTCCAGCTGGTAAGAGGCCCTGGGGTAGACCCAGAACACGCTGGAGGGATTATACAGTATATCTCATCTGGCCTGAGAACGCCTTAGGGTCCCCTAGGAGGAGCTGGAAGCATTGCGGGGGAGAGGAACGTCTGGAGTACATTGCTCAGCCTGCTGCCCTTGTGACCCGGCCCCGGATAAGCAGTTGAAAATGGATGGATGGACTGAGAGATATGATCAAGGTTGTTCACAAGAACGCTGAACCAACTGTATCTTAGTGGCCACATACCTTCAAACAGCCAACACAGTGCTGCCAAGGTGGTGCTTCACAACCTGGGGTTTGGGATTTTCTAATCATTTCATCCATAAAAAAATCACAACTTCCAAAAGCACAAGCTGACAGTCCAAAGATATTTAATCTAACACCCCATAAAACAAAGACAACAGCAAATCTTCACTTCTGAGAAGCTCTAACTAGCTCATGTTTGTCATCTTTCAAAATGGCTCAGTCACAATAGTTGCATAATCATTTTCTGTCAGTCAACTAATCATTTTAGCTCCCCATACCATGTCAGTGAGATAATGTATGAGTAACACTGCTCCTTGTCTTGAATTCACTCCCACGGTGCCGAAAATGTAAAACAGTTACTAATTTCTGTATAAAACCTTGTGATATGATCTTATCAAATCACGGTCTGAAGTCTGTGTCTAATTGGGGGTTCAAAGCCGTGAAAACATTGGAGAAATCCCAATTCATAGAGCCAGCTCGCTCTCCACTGAGGAGCAGCTGTTGCTGAGGCTGTTGGCTGGGGGAGCTGTCCGTGGTGCTGAGGAGAACTTCAACTGGGCGGCACATTCAGCTGCGCCTGTCGCTGTCCAGTATGCTGAAAGTGTCAGTCTGCAGTGCATCGCATGGCCCCAATTATTTTATTTCAATATGGCAAAACAAGGAGCATCCCTGTGCTGAATGTATAAGAGAAAGTCTATTGAAACTAATAAATCCTCTCATATCTCACATTCTATTCTGACCACAAGTGAAGACATTAGATAAGTCATGTGTTTCTAAATAGGTGTTCCCAATTAAAACTGTATCAATCACAAGTCCTCGGTCTCTGTGTGCCTGCAGGTCTTTAAATGAAAAAGGTCAAGTTTGAGTTTGTCATTTTTTGATTTGTGCAACTTCAAAAACCACTTCATAGCAAGGTTTTTCTCCGTGCGTTACTGCCTGGAAACACACACGCGCCTTAGCCCCTAGACTTCCTCGCACGCACACACACGCACACACACGCGTTGGCCCTGTCTCTTTCTTCAGGAGCCTCATGACTGTGCGAATACAAGCAAATGTCATGAAGCGAGAAAGATAAAAAGGAAAGGGGCATCAAGCCCTCCAGTCCTCATAACATTACTGCAAGTTGCATCATGAGCACAACGCGGTGCCTTTGTATAAAGGGGAGCGTGGCTGAGGAGAGGAGCGGACGGCGGCGGAGAAGGAGCGTGATCTTGCGTGTAAATGGACATGTTGAGCGACTGTCTCATGCGCCGCTGACGAATGATCTAATACCGGCCGAGCTGGCGTGGAGTGGAGAGCCGAAACACGCACCAGATAGGCAAGACACGTCATCCCCAATCTGCCTCCTCTCCTCCTCCTCCTCCTCCTTCTCCTCCTCTCCCTCTCTCTCCCTGGCCTTCGCATTCTCTCCTCTGCACGATTAAATGAATAGAGGTTGATTACCGTTTATTGAGCGGCGGGTCCACTGGGACAGCTGGTTTTGATCCAATGGAGACAGCGCGCTGCTCTCTTCAATATCTCCGCTAAAAACCTTTCACACATCTCTGCCTTTGACTGTGTGGCCCCTTGGGAATTATATTGGGTGGCAATGTAGGCTGGAAATTGTTTAAAGTGAAACTGGTTGACAAATGAAGACAGTGTTAAAGCACTATTATACATCTGATGCTTATCAAACACAGCCTGGAAATGAGCAGCCGTTTCATTTTGGACAGCGTGCAGCATTACGCACGTGTCTGCTGGCTACTGTTGATTATTAATCGGCGACTCTTGATTTGGTTTGATAAAGTGTGTGGGTAGAGAAACGCCACGAACCCCAGGTCCTCTCATCCCTCTCCGCTCCGCCTCTCAGCATAGCGTGAGGCTCTGGTGCCGCTCAATGGGAGGATGGGGCAATTGCTGGTGGCTGCAGCAGCACCGAGGGACGCGCCAGACCACCTCAACGCCGGCGTGTGGTATCCTAACATATTTATTGGCACAGTTTAAAGTAAACGCTGTTACAGGAGGGGGCAAGATAGATAGCCCGAGCCTTCCCTGCTCTTTGTAAATATGTGCAATAACTTAGAGTCGCTTTACTGGCTCCAAAAGTAGACTCAAACGGCGAGAGAGTGGGCAATAAAAAGCTCCCCGGACGCAAATAAAACAAGAAGCCTCCTACGAATATAGCCGCAATGAGATTTACTCCACATGAAAGTCGAGGGAGATTTGTCAGTATCATTGGCACTGAGCCGCGCGCGATACATCTCACCAAAAACCATCTGGGTGGTTGATGACACAAGTTTGCTCAAAAGTGGGTGACAAGTGGGAGATATTCGGTGGGAGACATGAGAGGGATGACGTTTTCCTGTAAAATAGTAATGATCAAGCTGAAAGCGCACTTAAGCAGCAGGAGACGACACGGCCTACTGTGCTTTGGTGGTGCTGAAAATGTGCCCAGTTTCCACTCACTCTTGGATTATGTGCTGTCCAACCAAAAGGTATGAGTGGGCGAACACAGAGCCATGACTCACTGTCAAATTCATATTGTGGCCGTGGCAGTATTCTTGGCTTTTGCTAAAAATAGTGCCCATTCTGTGGTGCGGAGCCAAGACAGTGATAAAACGGTTGGCTTTCGTTGCCAAAGGACCTGCTCGGGATGGCAAAAAATCATTGCGGCTCTTCCCCCGAAAAGCCTGGGCTCTAAATAACGCCACGGGCTGTTCGTAATGAATGTCCACAGCTATGGAAAAGACAAAAAACAAAAGATCATGGATCAGTTACTGAGTCACTTCTTTTCAGAAACACATTATGTTGCGAAGACGTGAAAGTAAATGAATAGTAATGATAATCTGTTGAATGCCCAGCTCCGGTTGCAAGATTTCCATTTGCAATTAATCAAGGACAGAAAACCCAGAGTCAGTTAATTAGGCTTACCCCCCCTCCACACACACACACGCGCGCGCGCACGCCTCGTAGCCTGCACACACACACACACACACACACACAGACACACACATATAGAAAGGCAAAGAGGGGGAGAACTGTACACCAAATGTTCATGGTTACTTGGGCAAGTGGAGAATCTTGTGGGGTCTGAGCTGAGGAACTGAGAAGGAACAGTCAGAGAGGAGACCCTCACACACACACACACACACCCTTTTGGACTCTGAACGGCATAATAATCAGCCGCCTGCTTGACCACCTCAACTGATTTCCTCACGCCAGCAGCGCATGCTGCACACAGTCTCCTCTGCACCTGTAAAGCTTCCTCTGTAGGAAGCAGCAGTAACACGAGATGTTTATTTAATACTCATCCCCTCAGCTCATTTAATCCTCCCTCATTTCCTCAGAAAACACCCATAACACAGTCCTTTAATGAAACGCATCAACAGAGTCAAGGATAGACAGAGGCTCAGTTGCAATTCCAGAGGATCCGCTGTCACCAAAATAGCCACCCAGCCAGCCACCTCTCCTCTATTAATAACTTTGGGGTGCTGAAACAGCGACATCACAGCAAGGTTGATTCCTAAATGCGCCTTTAGGATGAGTGCGTGTGTGTGTGTGTGTGTGTGTGTGTGTGTGTGTGTGTGTGTGTGTTGCTGATTTGCATTCAGTCAGGGGATCGTGGAGGGTGGGCGGTGGAGTGGGGGTTAGGCTGCTGCATTTTGCATGTCTTCAGCGGTACAGATGGGGACTTACCCTTTACTGAGGCGGCCAGTAGCCCCATATATAAGAACAGCACCCGGCTCCAATGGTGCGCCTGCACTCCCGCCTTCATTAGAGCAAAAATCCGTATTCCGTCCCCTTTCCTGCATGCGCATTCCGGTCTCCTCACAAGTCCCGTTGCTCCGTCCCGGTTTGAAGCGGCGGTCATGGCAGGGCTTTTTCTCTCGGGTCTGGCAGGCACGATACTTCTCAGATGGTCAAAAAAGGGAGATTCACTCGGTGTCGGAGCTGAGAAAAATCCCAATGCATGGAGGAGGCTCGGATCTCGCAGCTGGACTGAACCATGTCATGCGGGGACCGAGGGGTTCAGAGTCTCTGTCTGAGAAGATCGATTTCACACCTAAAGGGGGAGAAAGGAGGGGAGGCAAACCAAGGGGGAGACGTGATTCAAGTGGTCACTGATCTACCCCGCACGCGTAAAAAATCACGAAAATCCCCTCGACCGCTCCACATATGTAATTGATATTACCAGACACACGGCAGAAAAAGACCCAGGAGATCCCTCCTTCAGTTTGTCCCGCAGCACTTATTTGTCCTCTTTATTTTATCTCCATGTAACATGTGCGGTGTCGATAATCCACGTTAAAACTCGTCATTGGACCGAGATTCAGATGAACGGACGACGGATGATGGAGAGCCACAGAGGTTATCCGGATCCAAGAAACCAAAAAAAAAATCGCCTCGTTTTGGAAGTTCTTCACCAACGTTGAAGTGTAGTCAGAGATCTGACTGTATAGAGAGAAATATGCGGTATGTATGTATCCCCAGTATCGCAGCGCTTGGCCACAGCGTCGTCTCGGGTCTGTGCGACGCCAAGAATCAGACTGCAGACCTGCTCCGTCTTCTCTGCGTGTCTCTCTCTATCTCTCCCCTCCTCTCTCTCTCACGTCCTCTCCTCTCTCTCCCTCTCAGTACCAGTTCCCTCTCCAGTTCAAAAGCATTTGGAGACATATCTAACTCCAGTCACCACACTTTTTGCGCCATAAACTATTATTTTTCATTAGATAAATATGCCTCTATGATGATAAAAGCCTGGATGTGGAGGTGCATTTGTCTCCTAATAAAAACATCTTTGATTTTGGCAAAATTAAAGATATTTACAGCATTAATTGATGCAGAAAAGGCGCAAACTGGTGCACAGAATTCCCCTATGTGTTGATGCGTAAAATCCCCCCATCCAACGTGCAAACAAAACCTATGCCCTTGAAAAAACAGCTAAATATTTTTTTAATGATAATTGATAATAGGCCTAATAATAATACTAATAATAATAATAATAGTTCATGACGCATTAAATCTACCTTGTTCCCAATTTGTTATGGTTAAGATTTAGGGGACCATTGTCTCCATCCATTAAGGCCAATCATCGGATTGCCCGGCAGTTTAACATAGATGTCCACTTCCTGCTCACTAAACGTGAAATTGATGCTTAACAGGCTGGAACCCCTCGACAGTAAATTTGAATGTCATTTCCACTTTTGCATATGACCGGTGTAATTAGTTTTCCGCAATGCGCCGTGCGTGGAAACAGTCGGGATAATGAAATGCGCGGTGGCCTTCGACCCCACATACAAGATGGAGATCATAAATAGTCTCCCCGCAACATTAAATTAAACTTTGCCCAACACTGGGCCGCTCCTGTCTCCCCTGATCGGGTTGTTCTGGGACACGGAGTCAACTTTGGTAGCCTATATCTTAATGGGAGATAGGCACGGGTGAATTATGGGGATGTCCAATAAGTTTAAGTGTGTGTGGGTATATATGTCAAGTCCAGCATGTTGGTGTGTAATAAATATACACGTGATGTTAATTCATCCACTACAGTCATCATTAAAGTTCATAAACACTATAACAGGAGGTAACTTGGGCGATCTACCGTTATAGACCGTTAAAGAGTTCCAACCGGTTGCTATGGCAGATCAAAGGCTGCATCAAAATAAACCGTTAAACAGTTGCTGTAACAAGTCTGACAGACTCCTGTACACGCTAACGTGTGGACAAAATGATCCCCACAAACCCGAGGAAGCGGTTCCCGAGGACATTCACACCTTTTCCACGCTCCATCTGGACTCATCCGGACGCACCGCAAGACGACTTTGACCGTGTGTGCCAAATCATCTGGATCCGAGCAAAGGAGACAGAGAAGGCGCTCCACAGAGGTCAAAGTTTAGCAGAGGGATGGCCGAGTAAAGACCTCTGGGCTCCAGACAACACCACAAGTCATCGGTAAGGCTAAACTGGACACACACACACAGCCTGGGAATCAAAGACACCTCTACACACCTTATTCCTGAGGGTACTACTGTAGAAATGATTATTGGCGCAACTTCCGGTCAGATAGCGGAAGTAGCAGTAAGATACTTAGTCCCATCGACTGTCTGTGGCTAACCACCAACGGTTCTTTTCTAAAGTAATTTGCCTTCAGTTTAGCAAATACTGATTTATTTTTTAACAAATATTTAACTAATGTTAACTTAGCATTTTCTAAAATGTCTTTGCGGAGCTCTGATACCTGTTGCACTGTCCATGTCTGTAACGACTAACAACCAGTCTAAGCTACATTTTTGTCTTCAGCAACTGTGTGTTGAACATGTAACCAGAACAAAAAGGGATTGTTCCTGTTGCCATGGTTACCATTGATATGAAACCACAAGAGTTTCATGAGACATAGTGACATATTATTAAATCAGAATGACACGCAGACTGACAGGTCCTTCACTCAGCGTCAGTACATGATATCCCTGTCTTTCCCCGTCTGACTTCATTCTCAACCTACATTAGAAAATAAACTCAGCAACATACCTTGAAATATGTATTTAGTCATTAGGGCTGAGAATGTGTTACTGATTTACTGTACTTCCTTTATATCATATAAAAAAAATGAATGCCGGAAGTTAAAGAAACTTGTAAATTGCGTCATTAATGCAGACGAATGGAGGATTAGCTGGGAAACATCACGTTTATTCACTTTACACAGAGCTACAGTTAAAACTGAATCATGTTAAATGTTTGCTGAATGTGTTAGTGTCTCTTAATAAGTCATCAGAAATCAGAAATCATCTTTAGAAGGAGCAGATGTTACCTTAAGCTAGCTCAGGACATGTTAAAGTTAACAATATTTTAACAGAGCAAGGCGAGCTTTGAGATGGCTGTCAGAGATGGCAGAGGTATGATCACATAATCCTGTTTGAGCTTTAACAGGTGGTGTGTCCCAAGTTTTATTTCCCAGTTGATCTTGGAAAGAAGAATAGAGTACTGTAAACAAATTGTTACCATTGGAAATTGCAGGTTTCGGTTCAACGCCATAAGTTGAACCCATAATTCTTGCAAGGTGTCATGTGGGCTAGGAATAAGGTGGATATGTATTTAACAATCTCCATCCCTGCAACAGACTACTGAGTGTCTGGTACTCGCGCATGAAAACGTCTGTAAAATGCTGTAAAGTTTAGTTGAGTCACTCCTAACACATTAAACACATAATAAACTCACATAAAACATGGTTTTATAGAAACAATTGCAAACACAAGTACAAAAATCAGCTTCATTATAACTCGCAGCATTCACAGACAAACACTTGTCTTTATCTGGACACATTTTCCCCACAAATACAACATGCTAATGTTTTTAGCACAATTCTATGGCATTATACATTGTATAAATTAGCCTAGCAGCTAGCAGATATTTCTTCTTCTCATATGAAGCCAGGGACAACAGCAACATTTAACAAAGGTAACGGTACAAAATTTGGCTCCATTACAACCCACAAGGGTCATCATCAAAACATCTGTCTCATACTAAACACGTTTTCCAAACAAATTTAACATGCTAATGTTATTAGCACAAGCCTATGGCATTTTACACTGAATAAATTAGCCTAGCGACAAGTGGAGATTTCCTCTTCTCATAAGAAGCCAGGATAAATCCCGAAAAATAAATCACACACAAGACTTAAAATGCAAGTTTGTGGAGGCTTTATTGTCTTCACAATTTATTGTTTCTTATCTGTGAAATTAAAATATATATAACCTTAGTTTCCAGCTTACAAACATAGACAGGAGGTCAGCGTTGCTGCGACGTGTAGTTACCTTAGGTAATAGGCTCTGTCAACGGTTACAGCGTCGATTCAACAGAGAAGTATAAATTCCACCTGAAACTGTTGTAGCTCTCTGGCTCTGCAGGGGGATGTTTCTCCTCATAAGTGCAGTTTGACATACACACACACACACACACACACACACACACACACACACACACCATTTTCAGGCTTTTTGTGTAAATGTTTTCAAGTCCTCACTTCTCATTCATACTTTAAATTAGAGACTCCATTCAAACCTTACAATGTGTCACATCTTCCAGATATTATGGGTATGATTCAACTTGTATAGCCAGGACTTTCTGTTTACTGTCAGGTTTTCAAAAAATATTAAAATATTCCACATCTTTCATGCATAATGGGCAAGATAATGCTACTATACAACTAAAACTACTGCTGCTGCTGCTACTACTACTACGTGAACGACTTCTACTATTGCTACTATTTCTGCATTTTTAGCCATGGTCTTTAATTCATTTTCAGCTAGCATTGAATTTACAAGACTGTTGTAGTTGACTGTTATTTACCCTTACCCACTTAGTCATTACATCCACATTATTGATGATTATTTATTGAAAATCTCATTGTGTAAATATTCTGTTGAAGCACCAAGAGTCAACCCTACAATACTGTTGCAATATTGATATTGAGGTATTTGGTGTAAAATATTGTTTTAATAGATTTTCTCCATATCACCCAGTTCTAGGTTCATTGTAAAGGTCATCCTAAAGTTTTTGACCTGTAGCTTCTTTACAAGCTATTTTGTTGTCAGCCATGCCTACAGAGTCATTTTAAAATCCATAACATCATTAGCCTTAGTTGGATAGGCCTATGGAAAATGGTTGAATGAATGGACTGATGGGTGGATGAGAAGTTGAGGCTTATTTCTAACCCCGGACTCAACATTGCAGTGTAGATCAGATGGGCTGCTGTGTGGTCATAGATCCACTGTATAATCTTAATGTACACCATCTGCTAAGCGGTCGCCCCAGAGCTTTCATGATGTCTCCGTTATCATAAGCGTACTGGGTCCCACCAGACCGTCTGTTCCGCATCGTGGACTCGACAGTCGACAGGATGGTGACTAAAGAGTAGTCTCATTAAAAAGTCATGGTTTGAAGCGGGTGCTGCACCACACATATGGAATGGTGCCACAGACCCGATGATTCAGGGTCTTTGAGTCAAAATACTGGGTTCACCTCAGTCTAGTAAATTGTGGCAATGAAGTCATAGTGACCCATCAGTATCAACCAGGTAACCTATCAGCTAATGTTATTCATTGGCCTATAGATTAACCAATTAGTTTAGAATATTATGAGCTACCAAAAAAAAATTATCAGTTCACCAAGCGGTGGACTCCAAGTTCTTAAAATTTGATGTAGAAAGCAGAAAACTCTTCCAGTGTCTCCAATTAAACCTCTTCTAGCAAGTTCAGATACAAGTGACCTTTTCTTTATACTACATGATCACCACAGTGATCAGATTCTAAAATAAATGTCACCTGCGTCTAAAACTCCTAAAAAACCATATTGGAGGTGTGAAATGAGCTGACACCACTATCAGACATTTCACTTTCTTTATGAAAAGACTGTGAGAGCAAGTTAACCTTACAGCGGTAGTGATTTTGGTGTGATGGTCTGTCTAAACCCCGCCACACTCCTGTACATGTCTGTGTCTCTCCCCCTGTCTAGGGCTGAGGAGCAGCAGCAGAG